CTTCTTTTTTTAATTTCTACTTCTATCTATCTAATCTATCTACTAAAAAAAAATAAAAAATCTATCTATCTATCTATCTATCTATCTATCTATACTATACTATCTTGGGCCTCGGTAAGACGGTCCCTTTGGGCCCCTGTAAGACGGTCCCCTTGGGCCTCGGTAAGACGGTACCTTTGGGCCCCTGTAAGACGGTCCCTTTGGGAAGACGGTCCCTTCTCGCCCAGCAAAAATAAGGCTCGCACGTCGTTTGAACGGCACAGTGGAGGTGTCCCGTGAAATTGGCGGTAGGAATTTTTTTTTTTTTTTTTGCTTTTATTTATTAAAAAAAAAATTGGACCATTTCTTGATTTAGGCGTGTCATCCTTGCGCAGGGGCCATGTTAATCTTCTCTCTCTTTATCCAGAGGCCTAGCTCAGTTCGTTAGGCACGCAAGTGGCATTCGGGAGGTTGTGGGTTCAAGCCCCACGACCGCCTGCGACGCACTTAGTGCCAACGAACTGGCATAGTCCTCTGGATACTCCTGATCCCTATTAGTGGAATCTATGACCAACATGGGTGTGAGTGCGAGAGCGTGGTGTGTGGGAGAGTGTTGGCCATAGCCACTGCTGCTACTCGATGAGGGGTGGGGGCGATGAGAAAGGGAGGCACAGCTACTGGCAGGTCTCGGTCTTTGTGTTAGCCAGACCCCCACTGGCGGCTCCGACCCCATACCCTAAACATTAGGGGCAAGGGGCAACATAAAATCTCCCATTCACACTGAGAGGAAACTATGCCTGCAGGGGTCCCCTCTAGATAGCCTTGGGAGTAGGTAGTGAAAGGCAAAAACAGAAGTTGAGAGAAGAATATAGGAAAAAAAAAAAAAAAAAAAACCCTTCTCTCTCTGTATCGGTCCAATTTTATCGGACCATAACTCGAACCGGCAGGAAGTTTTTTGCCCGGCGGACGCGGGGTCGAGGCTGTCTCCCGTTGCTTTCCCCCCCCTGGGGAAGCGCGGCCAAAACATGTGCGACAGGCGCGGGGAAGCGCTGCCAAAAAATGTGCGACAGGCGCGCGTTCGAGTCAGGGAGGGGCCAGGCCGCTTTTATGGTACATTGTGTGGCCGGGGGGGTTTCGCATTTTGCCGTCTATTGGAGAAAGCGGGCAGTGTATATTTCCATGTTCTAGCGAAAGATCCATTTGATTTTACTCATCCTATGGGCAGTGTATATTTCCATGTTCTAGCAGAAGATCCATTCGATTTTGCTCATCCTATCGATGGAAGTCGCCTGAGGGAGCCGCGAGTTTGAAGACTTACCTGTTCTCTCTCTCTCTCTCTCTCACACACACACACACACACACACACACACACACACAGTGCGGAAGATTCATTCCGATTTTGCTCATCCTGTCGATTCATTCCGATTTCCGTCGCCTGAGGGAGCCGCGAGTTTGAAGACTTACCTGTTCTCTCTCTCTCTCTCTCTCTCTCTCTCTCTCTCAC